TCAAATTTAATAAAAATATACAAAAATAAGAGAATATGAAATTCAATACAAAAACGGTAAAACATTAAACAAAAATTTTTAAAATTTTTTATAAACAATCCCACAAAGAAATTGAGTCGTTGCCACAAACTCTAATTTTCTAATCCCTATATCTTTGCAACATAAATATCTTAAACCTTAAATAATTCCTCTTTTGAATTTTGTGAGATCAAATAATCTAAGTTTACCTCATCAAGGTGCAAAAATTTTGGGATTAGAACATTTGAGTCTGCGACAAAGACTCAATTCCGTACGTAAATTAAAAAAATCTCGTCAAAAAAAGAAATGTTTAATAAAAATATGATGTAAACATGCTTGCTGCTTATAAAGAAAGGAACTAAAGACTGTGCACTATAGTTTCAGTAGAAGTAAATATTTCCATTTACTGTTGTAGCGCCGATATAAGGATTTATCTCTAATTGGATAATGAGATAGATAGAAAGATAGATGTTACCGCTATGCAATTTCTATTGGTTCAGAATAGACACCAAAGACATTACTGAGCTCTGATTGAATCAGGCGCTAATGGACTCGGCATACATTATGGAATATTAAATAGACAAAGTTTGAAATAGCAAAGGTTTACACCATCAGCTTGCACAACTATAGGGATTCAAAAATTTGGGTTTGTGGCAAATAATCCGCTTTTTTCCGCAAAAGGTTAAGTTTTACTTTTTACGAGTAATATTTAAAGGGACTGTAACCGTAGTTTTAAGTGACCCTTCATGCAAAGATGGCAATGTCCGATTAACAACAGTACCCTTAAAAGCATTGTCTGATCAAGTATGAACTAGATATCAATGTTTGTAATTTTGGAAACTGATTATTATTTAATAGTGGTTTCTTTACAAAAGTGACTTGCACTATTATGCTGCAGACTCTTTATAAATTTTAATCAGATAAAATGTAAATCGTGAATTGCCATCTTTGCATTTGAAATTACGCTTACAGCATCAACTTAAAGGATCACATGGTAAACGTAAATTGGTTTATCTCTTGCTGAATAGTTTTGCACTGGAAATTGATCCGTTTTCATGCAGATACACAATAATATCGCAGTTAGGTTTACAAAGTTCGGTTGTTAACCAGGAGTTCAACTCCTGACAAGCAGGATCACTTGAAATAATGTTTACAGACCCATTAATGAGGCACCAAGTTCAAGCATGTGATGGTGGTATTAGATTTCAAAGTTGTAATCAAGAGTATGGTGGCGGTATTAGAGTGCAAAGTTGTAATCAAGCATATGATGGCGGTATTAGAGTGCAAAGTTGTAATCAAGCATATGATGGCGGTATTAGAGTGCAAAGTTGTAATCAAGCATATGATGGCGGTATTAGAGTGCAAAGTTGTAATCAAGCCTATGGTGGCGGTATTAGATTGCAAAATTGTAATTAAGCGTATGAGGGTGGTATTAGATTGCAAAGTTGTAATCAAGTGTATGATGGCGGTATTAGAGTGCAAAGTTGTAATCAAGCGAATTATGGCGGTTTAAAGTGCAAAGTTGTAATCAAGTGTATATGATGGCGGTATTAGAGTGCAAAGTTGTAATCAATCGTATGATGGCGGTATTAGAGTGGAAAGTTGTAATCAAGCATATGATGGCGGTATTAGAGTGCAAAGTTGTAATCAAGCGTATGATGGCGGTATTAGAGTGCAAAGTTCTAATCAAGCATATGATGGTGGTATTAGAGTGCAAAGTTCTAATCAAGCATATGATGGTGGTATTAAAGTGCAAAGTTCTAATTAAGCGTATGATGGCGGTATTAGAGTGCAAAGTTGTAATCAAGCGTATGATGGCGGTATTAGAGTGCAAAGTTGTAATCAAGCGTATGATGGCGGTATTAGAGTGCAAAGGAACCTGTAGAACCGGATCTCGTCCGTCCAATGAAACCACATCGTTCCCTCGATGATTGGCGGCTCCGTTCCTGATTTTTACAGAGGTTCTTTTCTTAATCCACTTCTCACGAGCCTTAACAATTAAATACATCAATTTTAAAATCAATTATAAAATCAATTATAAAATCAAATATGAAATCAATTATCATAAATATATTAAAAATATGAATCGATTGTAAAAGAAACAAAATTGAAATTTGATTAAATTTGAATAAATTTGATAAAGATATGAAATCAATTATAAAATCAATTTTAAAATCAATTATAAAATCAATTATAAAATCAATTATAAAATCAATTATGAAATCAATTATCATAAATATATTAAAAATATGAATCGATTGTAAAAGAAACAAAATTGAAATTTGATTAAATTTAAAATCAATCATAAAATCAATTATGAAATCAATTATAAAATCAATTTTAAAATCAATTATAAAATCAATTATAAAATCAATTATAAAATCAATTATAAAATTGAAATTTGATTAAATTTGGAGAAAAACACACAGCTAAATTGATAAAGATACACAAAAAGATCCACCCTGCGCGTCATTTTACGCCTTTATTCTAAATGTCTTGAAATTCTTCTTATATTTTCTTTTTTCTTCTTTTTTTTTCTTTTTTTTCAAATTTCTTTTTTTATCTTAAATTTGAATTTGAAGACTATAAACGGATGATTAATTGTTAAATAAATAAATCAAATGTCTCATCTAAAAAGTGTAAAAAGGGGTTTCATTGAATTAGATGTTTGCTGTCCGGAGCAAATGTGAAAACTTTGATTGATTTTGCATTCTTTGGCTTCTATTCAGATTCCAAGTTCATATAATAGTGTTAACACAAATTCGAAATATAAGGAAGACGATTTTACCGACTCAGATGCCGTTGACTATTTTCAAGACGTGTGAATCTATTTCCGCTGGTCCGCCCACATGCCCCCCCCCACCCCTCTACACATCCCAGCCCCTCAGTCAGATTGAAACACTTGAGATGATCACAACTCCGTCTCAGGGAGCAACCCTGGCTCCTTCATGGTGATGATACAGATACCTAGCTATCAACAGATGATGCTTACATCCAGCTCAATGATGTTCCAAGAGTTCCTAAATTATCATGCGAACATTGAGACGCAATCCCTCATATTCGAAAATGATAAAACCGCGATCTCTCCCCCTCCTTATTCAAAGCCTGGGGTGAGCGGAAACCTGTTGTTCCAGTTCCTGTCGATCTGCACAACCAACATGAAGTTCTATAAAACTCCCACTGATGTTCGTCAATAGTGTTCTTTGTTTATTTCTAACCAACCAATTTTAACCCAGTCTTATGCAAATATTTCAAAACTTTCGTTTTTTTAAATAAATGTTAGAAATATCCATTTCAGATATCTTTGTTTTATTATAGTGACTTTTAAAGTCAACAAATAGATAGATTGATAGTTATATATAGATGTGTAAATAAATAGATAGATAAAAAATACATAAATACATATTATAAAAGCAATAATCAGAGCTGTCTCAGCTTTTCTTATGATAGATAAAAATTGCCTGGTTTGGAACAAATGATTTGAGATCAGAGTCTGGATCCGAGCTTGCTGGCAGCAGATCCTAAATATTTTATATACATAATAATATGTCATTTCTTTTTTAAAAAACCGCAATTTTATCATTGAATATGTGCAACTTATTCCATTCTTTTGTATAAATAATATATTATTCGAATAATATATTAGCTTTGTTTTTAGTTTGTATTATAAACCTGGTTTAGTATCATGATAATAATGATGATAATAATAATACTAATCTGAACAGCTTTCTTAGTATAAAGCTAATGATAACAATGATAATAATGATACCTGGTTAAGTATCTGCCTGAGAATAAAACCAATGATAACAATGATAATAATGATACCTGGTTAAGTATCTGCATCAGAATAAAACTAATGATAACAATGATAATAATGATACCTGGTTAAGTATCTGTCTAAGAATAAAACTAATGATAACAATGATAATAATGATACCTGGTTAAGTATCTGTCTAAAAATAAAACCAATGATAACAATGATAATAATGATACCTGGTTAAGTATCTGCCTCAGAATAAAACTAATGATAACAATGATAATAATGATACCTAGTTAAGTATCTGTCTAAGAATAAAACTAATGATAACAATGATAATAATGATATCTGATTAAGTATCTGCCTGAGAATAAAACCAATGCTAACAATGATAATAATGATATCTGATTAAGTATCTGCCTGAGAATAAAACCAATGATAACAATGATAATAATGATACCTGGTTAAGTATCTGCCTAAGAATAAAACCAATGATAACAATGATAATAATGATACCTGGTTAAGTATCTGCNTTAAAGGGATAGGTCAGATATTTGAGAATACAGATATTAAATGGATAGGTCAGATATTTGAGAATACAGATATTAAAGAGATAGGTCAGATATTTGAGAATAAACATATTAAAGGGATAGGTCAGATATTTAAGAATAAACATATTAAAGGGATAGGTCAGATATTTAAGAATAAACATATTAAAGGAATAGGTCAGATATTTGAAAAACCTATTAAGAGGATAGGTCAAAAACCGCAAATGTAAATAAACATGAATATTTGATGAGACAAAGCTTTTAAAAGTACAGTTGTAAATCAGGCATTGCTATCTTTGCATGGAAAGCTATTTGAAATTACTCTTACAGTCTCTGTAAGTTATCCAAAAGGTTTATTTCTTTATCCTTTGTGGTTAAAAAAAAGAAATTCTGTGAATATACCTTGACATAAAATGGTTTCCAATATTTAACCCAGAAAATATCTGCAGTGAAATATTAAACTTTTAATCTATTTCAACCGTAGTATATCTGATATATTTTAAAAATATGAATTTTTTGG